TATATATATATATATATATATATATATATATATAAACATATATAGCGAATGCCATGTTAAATTGAATAAAAACATTAAAGATGACATTTTTTACCAAAATAAAACTTTAAAATATAGAATAATACAAGAATATTTACACATATTTAAAAATACGGTTGAGAAAAATGATTGACGAGCACTTTGTAGAAAGTAAAAAAGCAACAAAATGATTAGAAAACTGTAATAAAACTGGACTTCTAAGCCATAAAAGGCAAATCACACAATTAATATTAAAATTAATTTGTATTTTGCTTACATTTTTGCATTGAATAAGAGTAAGAAACAAAAATGTCAAAGATGACACTAAAATGTCAAGTTGAAATGCTTTCCATCTCTCTTTAAAAAAAAAAGAAATAGTTTTTGTGTAAATGACCACAGGATTTTAACGCAATGTCACACATTGCAATATGTGCAATTGATTTACGTAAATAAGTGAAATATTAAAATATATCAGTTCCCTCTTTTACTGTAAGGGGTCTGGGGATGAACCAAAACCACAGTGAGAGTATCTTTTAAATAAATGTTAATCTGATTTTTTTCTCTCATCAGGGTATAAATACAGTGAAAAAAAGAGACAATTTGAGGGAACAGATTTAACCTAATGTCAGAATCATTTATTTTAAGGCTTTTAACACATCTTTATCAGAGGTTTCAATAAATGTGGAGGTGCTCAATATGAAAATTAAATGTCTGTTTGATACTAACTTAAGAATTTTCATAATTAATAAAACAGGCATTTTCTACTTTTCAATTTGTGCTTCTATTAGATAAGACACACAAGATCTGACATTATTCAGAGTCCACTAAAATCCTAAAATCTGATCCTTTTCACTAAATTCTGCAATAAGACTGCAGGATTATTAAGTTCTCCGTAAATAATAAACAAGATATAGAAACAAATAAAAAAATGTTTTATAGCACTTTGGAATGGGGACTTTTTGCACCGGTCTTTAAAACACAGAAAATGTTCACTTTTTTTTTAAAGTTTGGGGGCTTTTTTTGCCCTCCAAAATGAGATTATAGTTTGTCTCCCTTGAGAATTTAGCTCACACACAAGCTGATGTTCCAAGTCCGACGTTTGGAAAGAAAACAAACCGTTCAATCTGCTGTGTGCAATACACGCATATGTTGTAACCGTCACAAATGCAGAGTGTGGGAGCGCACTCGTTCTCGGGTGTTTAGCCGTGTAGAGATGAGTGGGGATGCAGTTCTGAGTGTGTTTGCTTTTGTCTGGGTCGTTTTTGTCTTTTGTTCTTGTTGTTGCTAAATAAAAAAAAAAGCTAACCCCTTATGCCCGTCACTGTGAATCTAACATTATTCTCCTCACATGTTTGTGAATATGTCAGCCACCCGTCAAAGAAAATGAACAAATGTAAAGATAATAAAAAAAATGATGCAGATGATGATGATAATAAAATATCCCAGTAGAGGAGCACAATTCAAGATTTTGTCGTATTTTCTTCACTTTTGCACATATTTATGACTTGCATAATTCAATATATCTTTTTTATTGGTCCACAGCATTTAGAGGTTTAGATTTCCAAAGTTCCTTTAGTTCCAACTCTGAGGAAAGCATTCTTGAATATAAATGTTCATGTCTTTACCAAATATTCTTCATTTAACTTATGGCTAAGCCATCCTAACAGATGAATGAATATGAATATCTATCAATCAATCAAGAAATGATGTAGCTAGTGTTGAATTTTTAGGGTAATTATCCTGCTGGAAGGTGAACGTTCACCATTTTTTCAATTTTTGCATGATTTTATCCAGGTTTGCACTAGATTTTGGCTTCATCCATCCTCCCAACTACAGGTTTTTTGAGGACTTTCCTTTGACAACTCAGGAACCATGCTGCTCTTCCTTAAATGCAACATTTGTGGAATACATACCTAATAACATGAACAATTTTGACAAACATGTATAACTTTCCTGGCATTTTCACTACTCATGTTGTATTGGACTATTACGTATCAAATCTCCATTAAATAATTGTAGTTTTTACAGTTTTTTTGACAAAATGTAGGAAAGTGCAAAGCATCAACGCAATATCTGCAAGTAAATACAAGACAAAAAGAAGTAAATACAAAACTATTTGTGTTCCTGAATATGATTTTTTCATATGTTATCATTCAAAGACCAACTGGACATTTTCATTTCCCTAAAGTGGACCAAAACAATATGAAACCTTAATAAAGAGGCAACATGTGGATGAGGCGAGCACAACCCCTGGCAGGACATCGCCCGAGAGTTACGGTTTCAGAAAAGACTCGACCATAAATTGGTTTGAAATGAACACAAAGGCGCAGGGAGCATCTCACTTATGAGAAACTATATATGCGGGCACGCGTTGCGATGTATGTATGCGCGTGTGCGTGTTATGTGTGCATCTTGCTGAATACGTATGTGTGTGTTGTCTGAAGCAGCCCCAGGGAGGGGCTCTGACATTGAAGACGGGTTAAATCCTGTTTTACATTCAAGTGGCAGGCCCTAGTTCATTAGAGTGAGGATCATTCCTCCTCAAGACCAAAGGAAGCGCATACTAAACAAGAGCAGTTGTTGGGGAGAAAATGCCATTGTACGTGCAGAAGCGTATGCACTGTATGAGAGAGGGTGTGTATGTGTGCCTGGTTGCAAAACAACCTTTCCTCTTTGTCTTATAACATCTTTATAAAGTAAGGAAAAAGTGTGGTTTGTGCAACCGAAATCACGGTGTGCTGTTTGCGTGCATGAGCATAAGTCATGACAGCCTTCCCCCCGACTTGTCTTCTGCTCAGGCTGTCATTGAGTCACCCATACGCCCTCTCTGTCACTAACTTTGATGCCTTATCTTACCCTCTGAATTAGAGTCGTGCTCCCTGGGGAAATACCTCAGCAAATGTAAATGCATTTGAAAAAGTCAAAATATGAGAGGGAATAATAAAGTGAGAGGCTGATGGAGACAGTTTCTGCCTTGCATTAAAGTTATACTTCTTGTCTTTCATTCTTCCGTTTTTCACTTGTATGGCTTTCGTCTTTGTCACAGTTTCCCCAACCAAACTCTCCTCAGCTGAGTGCAAACTTCATTCATCTAAAGCCAGATCCTTTGATCCGTGTGTATGATATTTAACACCTGAGAGCAGATGAGCAGACTGCTTTTGAAATAAAGCAAAGGTTATGAACCTAACTTTCAGGGCTGAGGGTGTTGATGTGAAATAGAGCTTTTGGAAATTGCATGAGGCTGGACTCACGGCCGGCTGTGTTGGCTGCTGAGGGTCTCGGATAGATGGTGTTTGTCAGTGGGGCCGCGTCTCCTGCCTCTGGGCACCCTGCCCTTTAGACGCGCCAGGCCTCAGGAGCCTCTTGCATGCCAAACAGACCTGGGCAGTCAGATGTGGCCGCAGAAGGAAAAAGGAGAAAAGGAAGGAGGGGTGGACAAGCGGACGTGAGGAGAGAGAAGTCCAGGGCGAAAAGGGTAGAGGAGGGATCTTAGGAGGAGAAGCCGGCAGGAGGAGTCGGGTGGTGGTCACACTACAGCAGGCCCTTCAGTCACACCCTGAATGTGAAATATGAAGATCCTGGAAGCACTTAAGAGTCTGAGAAGGAGAGGGGCAAACAAGTAAAGGAAAGAGGAAGACAGGGTGCTTGTGGGGTGAGTCTTAACAGCGACGCTGTGTGTCGATTGCCGGGAGATATCAAGACCTTCGCCCTAACTCTGTCAGAGATAGTTATCACAGAAAAAGACCCCCTCTACAACACCAGCACCTCAACATTCACACACACAACTACATGCTGCTCATTGTGTCTCATATACATGCATGCAGATGAAGAGCTCATTATAAGAATTATGCATGTAAAGAAAGCCCAGTTTGTACATCTTTTGGCTCCCAATGCAGCGACAGCATCTTCTGACTCTGTATTTGCTCATTATATTAAGCAACATTTGCATAATTAAAAAAACAAAAATATGACAACCCCTGATGATGCACTGATTTAAGCAGTGAGCTATATGCAGTTTTATACTTCTTAATTGACATAAAATAAATAAACTCAATCATGCACTGTTTGTCAAAAGGTTTACACTACATCTAACAAATATATCAATTTGTAAGGTTGTATAATCTGTAAACTTTAGCCATAAAGAAAATATATGGAGGGAAATTTTAAAAAACAGTTCTCTATATTGATAAAGGTACACACAGAAACACCTTTCACAATTAAATTTGACTAATTTTTATAAAATATCATCAAAAATATAAAACATTTCCACAAGAATCATACTTTTGATCAAATTTAAAATAGTTTAAAAATATTTTTTTTGTAAAGAACATGATCAAAAACAGAAATAAAGTGCTTTGCATTCCATAAATTA